GGGCTCGCGGCAGCGGGCTGTGGCACAGCCTGTTTAGCCTGTGCCAACTGTTGTTCGAGTATCACTTTGACTGCTGGGCCCGCTGCAACCTTCAACGCCGTCTCGAAAGCCATCGCTGGGTCAATCTTCTGAGACTGCGCATTCGTCGCCGTGGCGACGACACCTCCCACCAGTGACGGTTGGTGGTTGGTCATCGTCGGTGGCTTGCCCTTCGGCTTAAACAATGATACCCATGCGCCACACCCTTGACAAACACACTGCGTGTTCACGAGTTTGTTGTTCCACTCGCACCGCCCACACTTACCGCACTTGCTCCACGGGTCTGACTTCTGCTGCCCTCGAGCATTGGAGGCGGCGATGATAGCGGTCTTCTTACCACTCCGTGCCATCGTGTAGATGCATGCGTCTCTTTAGCCAACCAGCTTAAATTGCCCCAACAACTGAATTCTCTAAGAGAAATGCAGAAAGCAGTGCCTGGACAACGGCTGGTGCCCCTCAAGCACCACGTAGGAGGCAGACGCTCTTTGCGCTGGCAAAATGCTTGGGCCAAAGTGGCCAGAGGGAGGAGGAGGAGGAGGAAACGGAGAAGGAGAAGGAGGAGGGGCATGAGGAGGAGGAGGAGGAGGAGGAAGATGAGGAGGAGGAGGAGGAGGAGAGCGAGGAGGAGGAGGAGAGGGAGGAGAGGGAGGAGAGGGAGGAGGAGGAGGAGGAGGAGGAGGAGGAGGAGGAGGAGGAGGAGGAGGAGGAGGAGGAGGAGGAGAAGGAGAAAAAGGAGGATTCTCTCGCTCCGTCCTGGCGAGCGGTCTCCGCGCGCGCGCGCCGACGCGGTCGCGCGCAACGGCGGGGCAGACCCGCCGGCGCGCGCGAAAGCGCCGACGCGCCGCGCTCAGGAAAGAGCCCCCCGGCCGCCCAGGGGGCAGTGCAGCCGCACAGGCCGGGGGGGCAGAACACCTCAGTTTCCCCGGGCGCAGAAGGCAGCCGCGCAGCGCGCGCGCATTCAGCCTCAGCGAGGCCGGGTGGGCGAGGAGGGGGGCCGAAACACTGCAGAGACCGCATGGGGGAGGTCGCAGAGAATATGAAGAGCATTATCTCGCTCCGCCCTAGCGAGCGGTCTCCGCGCGCGCGCGCCGACGCGGTCGCGCGCGGCGGCGGGGCAGACCCGCCGCCGCGCGCGAAAGCGCCGACGCGCCGCGCTCAAGGGGGAGTCTTCTGGCCGCCCAAGGGGCGGCGCAGCCATACCCATGCTCAAACCCCCCTGCGAAGTGGCAAAGTTTTGGCGGGCAGCCGCAAGCTGGATTGACCAGTTCGAAGGCGTCACAGACAAGTAGGAGGCGAGCAAGCGACTGCCACCGGAGGCGAAGAACATCACCTGAGCCCTGGCGGCCTCAGAAAGAGACGCCAGGACTGTCGAAGAAGCAGCAGCTTAAAGGCAGCGTTCAGCACTTGACGCTCGGCGCCACCTGCCTCGCCAGAAGACGCGAGGGACGTCTTCTGTAGCGATGTAGAAGTCAATGGCGCCTGAGCCGCGAAGACAGCCAGGTGTGAAGTTCAAGCCGGCGGCGGCTCTGCAGAGCGGGGCGCCCTGTGCCCAAAGCAAATGATTCCACCGAGCACGGAAGCCGCTGGCCCCGAAAGGGGCGAGCGGATCGGCGAGGGCTAGAAGTCCAAAAACACATTCGAACAGGTCCACCGGCCGACGATCCGAACACCTCGCATGCTGCGCGGGGTCGGAATGACGGGTCATAGGCGCAGCGATGGCCAGAGAGGCGTCGCCTGTCGCTTCGAGACGGTCGAACGGCAAGGACAGGTCGCACCGTCTCGCCTTCGCGAGTTCCCCAGGACAGAGGTGCACGGTGAAACCGAGCAGCAGCAGGGCGGCCATGTCAGGCCCGTCACAGATGAGGCAGAGACCAATTGCCCGCAGCAGGGCGCGCGGCAACGGTGGACGAAGCTTCGGAGGCTCAGCAATCTCCCATTGCTCAGCGACGCCCCAAGCTTCGGTGAGAAACGCCTTCCAATGAGGACGCGCTGAATGGACGCCCAGCAAAGCATGAACAAGGATGTAATGGGGAAAGCCAGCGTCGCGCAGCCGGACTCCAAAGGTGGCCAGCGCTCGCGCCAGGAGCACGCCACTTCGGCATGGCGCGGTCGGAGCCACCCTGGCGTGCTCGACGAGCCACAACTCAAACGCATCAGCACTCGAGATCTGCGATCGCGGCATTCGGGAGTCAAGCGAGAGTCCCGGACGAAAGGCGCGCGATAGGCGCGCGGCCGCACGGCGCTAGGCCGGCGGTCTGGCGGCGCGGCGCCGGCGGCAGGGGCAGAGGGGCCCCCCGCGGCGACGTGCACGCACAACCCGCACACGCACCAGAGCAGCAGGGCTGGCGCTGGGCCTCTGCTGCTCCGAAGGGCCAGGCGGCCCGGCGACGGGGCAGCCCGCCGCTCGCGCGACGCGAAGTACGGCGGCAACCTGTCCTCGTCGACTCCTGAGCGGATCGCGGTCTCAACGCGCGCTAGCACAAAGGAGTCGCCCGTCGCGCCCACGACGCCCCGCGCGATCACTTCGACCTCCGAGGGCGCGCAAAGGAGCGCGGTCTCGACGGAGGCCCGAGGAAAGGGGGCACGGGCGTGCAGCTTCGTCTCCAGCTCGACCGCATCCCGCCGCTGGGACATGCCCGACAAAGTCGTCGGGCGGGGCGCGCTGCTGAGAGCTCGAAACCCCTCGAGCAGCTCCGCAGGCGCCTCTGCGCCAAGCCACGAGCGCGGCGGCAGCCGCTCGACGTTGTCGGGGATGCGGGCCAACAAATCGCAGGCGCAGGCCAGGGCGGCCGCGCGACGTCTCTGCACGACGGCGTTGCCCAGCCCGATGCCTCTGACCCTTCCGACCGCCTTTTCGTCGGTCTGAGGGCGCCCAGTCAGCCCTGGGAGCGCCGTGGCATTCGCAGGTGGAAGCCCTTGCAAGATGCGACATCTGCGCCGCGCAGAAACAAGGGGGAGACGAGAGGGGCAAGGCAAGGGGGGGGGGGGGGGGGGGCGAGGGGGGAGGGCAAGGAGGGGGAGGGGTAAGGGGAAGGGGAAAGTGGGGACGGCCAGAAGGGGGAGGGGGAAGGGGGGGGGGGGGGGAGGGGGGAAGCGGAAGGGGAAAGGGGAGGGGAAGGGGTCGACGGAGGGCGGGGGAGGGGGCAGGGGGGGGGAAGGGCGCCCCCGTGGAAAGGTGGGGGGATCGTAATTAGATGGCTGGCCTGTGTTACTTTATAAACATACATGTGTTGAGCGTTTGCGCACATGCATGCGCATGCAATTGAAAGGCGCGGGTTATGCGTGGGTTTGATATAAGTATTTGCCTGAACCGTGCAATCGTACACGATTGTGTGTTTAGTTGTGTTGTGCGCACTACGGAACACTCACGCGTCGCCACAGCATAACAATGTTTCCGTGTACATCCGTTTCAACCGCAGCTTGGCGAATTGCCGCACGCGTATCTTTACAAGAGGCTACCACCTAAACGCTACGAGAAGCAATGCTTGTTGGACAGCACGGAACACTCACTCACACGCGCTGCCACTATCAGACACGTTTTAACCACAGCTTGCCGCATACGTATCATTCTGAGTTTTGATTCGATGTTCATCTCGGCCTTCATCTGACCTAAACAGCGCAACAAGCCATGCTTGCTGCACGCAGTGCGGAGCACTCACACGCGCTGCCAACATCATGCAAGTTCATCCTTTCGTCCGCCAACCGGCCGCGAGGCGCGGAAGGCAGGGCCCTCCGGTCCTCACGTATTATCTGTTGTCTCTTGAACTTGCATACTATAAAGGTCGAGACCCCAAATTCGCGAATCTCCCGGGCGCCACCGGGCGCCCCCGGGCTCGGTTGCTTGAATTTTCCAAGAAGGCCAGGGCCTCAAAACGAGCTAAGAGGGGCCGGGGTACCGCCTTAGAGGGAGAGGCCTGCGAGACGGCCCAAGAGCGCTCCAAGACGCCCAAGATGGCTTCAAGACTGCAAGACGGCCCAAGGAGGCCCCAAGAGGCCCCGAGAGCGCTTCCAGGCCCCCCGAGAAAGCTCCAAGACGACAAAGTCATCGACGTTACAAAGTTGTTGAATGATGTTGGCCATCTTGCATTTTCGGTTTTCCGATGCTCCACGACGGCCCGAGAGGTCTCCAATACCGATACAAGACAACCCAGGAGGCCCCCAAGAGGGCCCCACACAACGGCCCAAGAAGGCCTCAAGACGGCCCAGGGGGGCTTCAAGACGGCCCCAAGACCGCCCTAATAGGGGTCCAACAAAGGGAGCAAGAACCGAACATTCTATAGCCGCGCCCCAAGAAGCCCTCTGGAGACCCCAAGAGACCCCAAGAAACGCCCAAAACGCGCCCAGAAGGCTTTCAATATGCCTAAGAAGCCCCAAAACTGCCCTACGAAACATCAAACGCGCCTCAGACTTCAAAGAAGCCCCCGAGAAGCCTCACGCGACCCCGACCAAAGACCACGAGGCTTCTGAACACCAACCCAAGAACAGTGGCGGGATGGGCCAAAAGCCACTACGATACTCTTGTTTCAACCACACAGGCCGTGAACTCTGAGTCGGTCCGCCGGCCAAAAGGGCAACGCAACGCGCGTGAAACGCGACTGGCCAAAGCGAGGGCCCCGGGCTGGAGGGCCGAGGGCTGGAGCGAGCGCGAGCTGGAGGGCGGGGGCTGCGGGCTGCAGAGCGGCGGCCGACGGCGAAGAATGGATGACTAGGACCTTCGATCAGTATCGATCTCTACAACTGAAGGAGCGCAAGCCTGCCGCGGAGCCGCCGAGCACTCGACCCCTGGACCCCGCGGACCCGCTGCGCTGCTGCAGCTGCTGAGCCGAGACGACGTCGTCGAGTCGCGGCCCCGAAGGATACCCGATACCCGACAAAACAACAAAACAATAAAGATATGCCAGCGGACGCGTCGCCATGAGCAACCACGAACGAGACGCCCGGCTGGCGCGAGGCACGAGGCGCTACGCCGTCCCGGTGTAACTGTCCTTCGGATGTTCCTTCGAATCCGCAGCCCTGAGCTCACCCTTCTCACGGCGCAAATAATCATGCAAGCTCCGCGGCGGGTCCGCGCCCTTGACCTTCGCGAGCTCAGCGTCGATCTTGGCCAGGCGGCCGTTCCGCGGCTCAGCCGGCAGGACGGCTAGAATGAACCTCACAGTGTAAGCGACGCTGATGAACCTCTTCCCCGCAGAGAGGACGCGCTCGCAGACGGCGATGCAGGAGGGGCACAGCTGCTCGAAGGAGCCGCCAATAGCAGGGCTGGACAGGGCCTTGGAGGACGTCTGCTTCTTGGCCACGTTGACCCAGGCCGAGGCATACCCCTCCCACGTCTCATCAACGAAAATATCAATGCACTTCTCTGTGTCGAACTTGGTGGCAAGTAATCTGGAATCGCTCGCTCGATCTTCTCGGACTCGCGCTGGAGCTGCGTCGAGGCACGGCTGGCCACGGCCGTCAGCAAGTCTGCGCACCGGCCCTCGATGACGTCGAGCTCCGAGCGCACGAGCTCGCCCGGGACTGCGGGGAAGCCGTGCGCCTCCAAGGTCTTCATCTGCATGATGCCCGGGTCGAGGTTCTGGGAGAATTTCAGGCGCTCGAGGTCGACGACCTGCCGAGCCAAGCCGTTCCACGACCCCACAACATTGTCTGTCATGCAATCGCTGCCGCTGAAAGCCACCCCGCCAAACTGCACGGCAAGTAAGGCGCAGGTGAAGCGAGTGAGCGACATGTGCCAGTAGACGCGCAGGCCGACGGCGGAGTCGCTCTTCCCCGAGGCGACCAACATAGAAGAGATCTCGTCGACGCGAGCCCGGCCGCGGACAATGCTCTCCTCGCGCTCCTCGCGAAGGGTGGCGACGAAGGCGCAGGAGCGATCGCCGTGGTCGTCGGAGAACTTCGCGTCGTTATCGGGCCCAAATGCCGCCTGGAGACGGGGCCCGGGCGGGGCCCGTGGAATCCCGAGGCCAGCTCATGACCCATCTTGTTCATCGCCCGAGGCACGACAAGGCGCTGGCATCGGGCGATGGTCAAGTCTGGCTTGAGAGGATCTCGGGCCTCGGGCGATCCATCGCGCCCCAGCTACCTTCCAATATTTCCAGTACTCGGCGTCGCTCTTGATGGTGCGGGTCACGTCGTCGCACTTGGGCGCGAGGGTCGCCCCCCCGCGAAGCGCCAGCTGTTTCGAGCCCACCTCCGCGGCCTTAAGGAACAAGTCCATCGGGGAGCCCAGGCTGGAGCAGCGAACGTGCAAATTGCCTCCTGGTCGCACTGGCGCCGTCAATGCAATATTCATGGCCACGCCCTCCAACGCCTCCACGTCGTTGGTCTTGAACTCGGGGCGCAGCAACTGCAAGCGGCATTCACTCGCGATCGTCCACATGCGAAGTGCCACGCGATCGTTCTCGGAATCCGGGTCGCGCACGTGCTCGAAATACTTGAGGCCTTGCATTGCCGCGAGTGGGTCATTGATGCCCGCGGTGGTCTCCTCCTTCCCCACGGGCTCCCCCCCGATAGCTTTCTCGAGAACCCCATCCGAGCATGCCGCGCACGTTCCGGATGCACATGTGCAGTATATATTTGGTATTCGCAATGACGGCGGGCTCAACCTGGTAGCTCATGGACGTCAGCTCCGCGTCCAGTTGCACCAACTTCTCCACCGCCTCTGGTCCAGGAGCGGCGGCCTTCGCCAGGATCTCTTCGGCGCGAGCAGCGCACGGCTCCCTCTGGCACTGATCGGAGAGCAACTTTCTCACGTAGGCAAGGACCTCCCCGCCGTTGCTACCCAACATGTACAAGTACATATGGCAATGCGGGGACCGCCGCACATGCACGAGCAGGTCCTGGATCTTCGGAACGCTGCCCTGGTAGCTCGCCACACCCAGCAACTCGCAGCTCGCCGAGGGGTTTCAAGATCGACGCGTCCACGCCGTACCCGAGCCCCGCCGTCGGCTCGCTGTCCTTCAGGAATACCGAAAGCAAACAATGGAGCCAGCGGGCGTACGCGTCAAGGTCCTCCAGCTGGGCCCTGGCTGCCTGCAGGCAGGTCCTGGGAGCCACGAGGCACGAGGCCATGGGCCCAGATGCGCCTGATGCGCGGCGACCCGCGGGGACTAGCCCCTCCGCGGCGACGCGGGCCGAAGACCCGCCGCCACGGAGCCGCGCGAAGCGGCTAGGGGGCCAGGGCCGTAAGACAAGGCCCGAGGAGGTGCTTTCGCGGGCGCGGGGGTAAACGCGCGCAGCGAGCAGCACACGCGCGCCAGGTACGGGCCCACGCAGCGGACCACCAGGCCCGCGAGACAGCGGCCTCCGCAAAAGCGGCACCAAGCGGTAACTCCCACGAGCGAGAGGACCGTCGCGAGCAGCAGAGGAGAGACCCCGCCGATCAGGTCCACCGCCAGCCCAAAGCAGACGGTGGGACAGGAGGCGGATCCCCCGGAGGCAGGGCACTCCGCCGCTGCTCCGAGGTCCGCCGCCTGAGACGGCCAAGAGACCCTAAAGGCGGGGGCCTCCTGGTCCGTCAAGGGAAGCGCTTGGCCAACGAGCCGCTCGAAGAGCGCGGCTCGCAGATCCTGGTAGAGCGCAGCGCCGCCCGCCTCCACCAACAGCTCGACGGCGCGCTGCATCAGCGGGCCGCGGGCCGAAGGGGGGGGGGAGGGCGGCCACTGGGCCGAAACACTGCAGAGACCGCATGGGGGAGGTCGCAGAGAATATGAGCAGCAGGAGGAGGAGGAGGAGGAGGAGGAGGAGGAGGAGGAGGAGGACGACGACGAGGAGGAGGAGGAGGAGGAGGAGGAGGAGGAGGAGGAGGAGGAGGAGGAGGAGGAGGAGGAGGAGAGGGAGGAGGAGGACGAGGACGAGGAGGAGGATGATAAGGAGGAGGAGGAGGGGGAGGAGGAGGAGGAAGAGGAGGAGGAGGAGGAGAAGGAGGAGGAGGCACCTGTGCCACTGGGTCCCCTTCCCAGGAAAACAGGCGGGCAGTAGCCCGGTCGTCACCCCTGTTTGCCCGTAGGGGGCAGGGGGAGAGAAAAGTGCACCCTCGTCGTCACGCTTGCCTCCCCATGCGGCGGCCCGGCACGTAACCCGCGTTCGCCTGGGCGGGAGGCGGGTCCACTGCGGGGGGCCCATTGGGGGATCCTCACCCACACCACCCACGGTCAGGGTTCCCCACCCTGGCGTTGCGTGGGGGTGAGCGGTCACGCCGAGGGAGTGGCGCCCCTCGGCTGGCTGATCAGGGCGGCACGGCCCGGTGCGTGTCGTTATCTGAATGGCGCGGCTCGAAGAACTGCTCCTGTTTGCTTCTGGTTGCGGTCTCCAGGCGTCCCAGGATGTTTTTTGTGGCCACAAGGTGCCCTATCAACTCGTATTGTTTCAGAGGATGTGCAACATCTTGTGGTGGCCGCAAACACAAGACCTTCTATTCATTTCTGTGGCATCACGGGTTGTGTTTCTCCGGAATTGCTGATTCTCGTGGAGGCCGCACGAACGTCCTGGCCCCTGCGATCGCCGTCACTATGCTTCGGCGAGCTCGAAGGGTGACCGCGTAGAGGACATTTGTTTCCCTGTGGCACTTGTCTCGAGAGGGTTTGACCACTGGCCTTCCCTCTATCGCTGCATCGAAGGCATCGAAGGAGGAGGAAGACGAGGAGGAGGAGGAAGAGGAGGAGGAGGGGGGTCATCTCGGAGCGACCGCTTGCACGCATCATGGGCCATCGAGCGGCGCGCGCCGCTTCCCCCAGAAGGCTTGGATGCCCCCTGGCCTTCTGAGAAATTTTCTGAGACGTCCCTGAAGGCACTGGAAACTTCCCAGAAGGCGCGAGGGCTTCTGAGAAGCCCCGCCGCCTTCTGAGAAGGCCTTCCCCTTCTCACTTCCCCCTCTCGCTCGCCGCCGTTCCAAACCTGCTCCGCCTCGGCCCTGGTCAGCAGAAGCTGCCCTCTACGTACGACGACTTCCTCCGCGCGGATGTCCCGCAGCGGCGCCTCCGCGTCCAGGACGGCCCGAGTGGCCTCGGCGAAAGCTGCCTCGGCCTGTCGTTGCTTGGCTTGGGAATTAATGAGCGCGACGTCGGACGGCAACTTCGGTGCCGCAGCGCTCGTCTTGGGCGGCTCTTAGGGACTGTCTTGGGTGCCTTCGGGGCCGTCTTGGGGCCACCGTGGGCCGTCTTGGGCGCCTACTGTGCCTTCGGGCCGTCTTGTGCCGTCAAGGGCCGCCTTTGGGGGCTGTCTTGGGTGCCTCTGGGGCCGTCTTGGGCGCCACTTGGGCCGTTCTGGGCCCGTCTTGGGGCCCTGATGGGGGGCCCCAGTGCCGCCAAGAATGTCAGTTTTCCGAAGGAGGGTGAAGCGATGTTTGCGTGTCGGGGCTGTCCTGGGGAATCCTGGAGGGCCGTCTTCGGAGGCTATTGGCAGGCCCGGCTCGGAGCGCCCCTGGGGCCGTCGGGGTGGCCTCTGGAGCGGTTCGGAGACGCCTTGGGGTCTTCGGGGCGCCCTCTTGAGCGGTTCGGGGCCTTCTTGGGGCCGTGGGGGCGGCCTCTGGAGCGTCTTGGAGTCGTCGTGAGACCGTCGGGGCGCCCTCTTCAGCGGCTCGGAGCCGCAGGAGAGCACCCGATGCAGGAACCCTTCTCGCACGCACTGTTCCCAGTATTGTAGTACTCCAGCTTCGCCTCCTACATCTCGCTCAGCAGCGCCAGCGTCCGCTGCCACCGCACGCCCTTCTCGTACGCGCTGATCCCAGCGTTGTAGCTGACCAGGGCTGACCCGTGGCCTGCCGGCGGCCACGAAACAAGTCCGAGATGGCACATTGGACCAGGGCAGAGACGTTGCCGAACGGCTTTCGCGATGACGTTGGGCCTGAACTTCGCCTCTGGTGTTGCTTTCTGCAGCTGCAGGGTGCTGCTGCCTGCGGCATGTTTTTGCTGCTGACTACGTTTGCTTTGCTGCCGTTGTCAGCTGCGGACTGCTGTTGTTAGCTGTTGCTTCTTGAGGCTGCAGAGTGCTGCTTCTTGGCACCCTTGCTGGATGACGAAACCTGCAGCTCGTGAGTGGAGCGAGGAGCGAGGAGCAAGGAGCCAGGGTCGAGAGGGGAGGCGGGGGAAGCGAGGACCGATCATCGAGGAGCACGCAGCGAGAAGGGAGGAGCGACCGCCCTTCTTGGGTGCCTCTTGGAGCCCTCTTGGGCCGTCTTGCGGCCCTGTTGGGCCGTCTGGATGCCATATTGACAACCTCCTGGACCGTCTACAGGCGTCGCGGGCCATACTAGACCGTTTCTGGACCCTCTCGGGCCGTCTTGGAGCCCGCCGAGGGGAGCCTGGATCGCGCCGGTGCTGGCCGGGGCCAGTTTTGAGCCTCGTGAAACATTTTCCTTCTGGCACGCGGCTACAACGGTGTTGTTGGGTAGATGGCCTTGGGCTCCGACTTCGCATCCTGCAACACGCTGAGCAACCTGCGGCATTGGGCTCCAATGTCACAGCCATTATCTGGCTGAGCTACGGCAGGGCTCGCTTTCACTGCTCGCCACTCTCATTCTTGCTCACCCCAGCGTTGTGGCCAACAAGGGCGGACCCATCTAATGGTATCCAAAGCGGCTTTCTGCACAATAGAATGCCTCTGCCAAGTTCAAAATATGGATGTCCGTCCACGTAGTCGCAGTGGTTGCCTTGGAGGGTCCCACACGCCCAATGATTCTCAAGATGCTCGAAAACGTGAAAGGCCGACCTGACGATAGTCAGGAAATCCTGCCGAGTGACGAGACGACATCTCGTACGCTGTGATGCCCAAATTGAAGCTGTTTTTGTTCGGCTCCACATAGCTGTTCCGCATCTCGCCGAGCAGCGACAACGCCTGCCGCCACTGGCCGCATCTCGCGCACGCGACGATCTCAGCGTTGTAGCTGACTAGTGTGAATCCGTGGAAATTCCACGGCTGGCAGGTCAAGGTATTGGTCCCGAACACGCATATGTCGCCGACGCCTGCTGGTTTGCTCGGGGTGTTGCTGCAGGCTCCAGGCTCTGGGGCTTGTGACTGTCTTCGAGTGTCTTGGGGGGTCCGGGCTGTCTCGGAGTGGTCCCTGGAGGGTTCTTGTGGCATCGAAGGCTTCCCGTAGTCCAGTCTCGCTGCAGCCTCTTGCAGGAGGAGGCGGAGGAGGAGAAGAGTGGTACTGGGAGATGGGAGGAGAGCAGGATCCGAGAGGAGTAAGCGAGGAAGCCGAGGCAGAGAAGACAGGAGAAGGTCACCCTTGTCACCCCTAATCGCAAGGGGGGGTCGGAGGAAGAAAGCAGTCCAGAGAGAGTAAGGTGTAGGCTCGCAGGCGAGGAAGCCAGGGTAGAGAAGAGAGAAGAAGGTCCCCCTTGCCACCCCTTATCGCTGGGGGAGAGGGGGGTGGGGCAACAACGTGCTGGGGTGTCCGGAGGGCACAGGAGGGAGTGAGGTGCATGAGAGCGAGCAGGAGGCCAAGGAGAAAGAGTGTAGCTCTGGAGCGAGGGCGGTCTTAGGACTCGGCTGAGCGCCTTCGGAGGCAGCAGAGGATGCGGGTGCCGCTGCAGAGGCTCAGAGGTGTCTACATGTCCCGTCTGCCACCCCGAATTCGCTGTGGGGACCCCAGAGTGGCAGGAGCTTGCAGGAAGGGAAGCCAAGGAGAAGGATCAGGGGAAGAAGGAGGAAGGAGGATGAGTGAGAGAAGAGAGTTGAACGGGGAGATGAGGCTCATTGGGCCTTGGTATGGGTAAGAGGCTTTGTTGAAAGCTGCAGGGGAGGCACAAGGGCTGGAAGCTCTCTTGGGAGATCCGTCGGAATTATCGGAGTATCTTGGGACGGTCTGGGGCGCCTCGGAGTGGTCCGGGGCTTCGCTCGGTGTCCGCGGCTTTCTTTGGGGTCTCCAGGGTTCCAAAGACTGTGAAGAGTGCCGTGGCAGATGGCGCTCTGCTACAAGCTCCTCGGCAAGTGTCGGAGTCTCTTGGGATACTCTTGGAGCATCGGAGAAGTCCTAGTAAGTTTCTTAGCCCATTGGGGGCTGCGGGTGGCCCAGCGTCTGGACTATCTTCGGACGCTCTTGGAGGCCTCGTGAGGGTCTTTCTGGAGCC